CGGCCCCCCCCCCCAGCCACTGTCATGGCTTCTTCCTCGAGCCCTCTCCCCCACTTCTGCTTCCTGCTCTCCTTCCCTCCACGTGCTAACCAATCCCGACTACGCCCTGAGCCGCCCTCTCCACCCTCTCCTGCTGGCTGTTCCGTGGTTGGATAAGAATCAAGAGGAAAGGTTTGGTGATGTTATCCCCATCCTCTTTCAGAGAGTGGGGCTCTCATCCGTTGTGTTGTGTGCCCCAGATTTTGGTCCTCAGCTGGCGAATGCTCGTCACCCAGGTCTCTGCTGCAGCTGCAGCTGCAGCTCCAGCCCCAGCTGCGCAGTGCAGCTGACACGCAGCTTACGGACAAGCCTCTCACTAGGCTTCTTCCACCTTGGGAAGGTGGGGAGGAACCCAGCTTGCCTGTACTTTTGTTTTGCTGTAGGGTACATGTGCTCGCCAGAGAGAGAGACATGTAGGGACAGTGAGAAACCACCCCTCAGGGGGTTGGCCATGCTACAATCCCTCTTCCTCCAGTCTCCTCCTGGGATTTTGGGCATGCACGCACATGTGCCCAGCATATTTTTCAGGCCACCGAATCCGGGACTCGAATCATGCACTCAGCCTTATGGGATCTAGCTGCCTTAGCTCCCCCCCACCCCCACCCACTGGCTGGCCTGCCTGCTCTTCCTTTAAAGGGTCTCCTTCAAGCTATTCATGGGCCACATGGGGTTAAAGAAACTTCCTGAACATAGGACTCTGGAGGAGGGCATCTTCTTCCCTCCCCCTGTAGCCACAGTGCAGTTGGCAAACCCTTGCGCCCGCTCAGGAGCTCGAGGGCAAGAGGAACACTGGTTCCTGAGGGCTGAGAACAGCACCAAGCACTCTCACTTAGCACTTTTCTCTCCTCCCACGAAGCCCTTACCCTTCTCCCACTGGGTCTCAGTGAAGCCTGGAGAGCTAAAGGCCAGGTCCGCCTCTGCCAGGGCTCTGGACAACACTCACAGACAGGGCAGGAGGGCCTTCGTGGCCGCATTCCCCTCTGCTTTGCACACTCCGCTGCTCCTGGCCGGCCCTCCCCGTCTTTACCCTGAACTGTAGGAGCCGTCCTTCCTTTCTGGTGCCCCTTTCTGGAGGGCCCGATCGGCCCCAGGGCTCTCCTTGCCCCTGTGGTAGCCTCAGGCCTTGGTCCACAGCTTTGAGTCCAGAAGCCCAGATGGAGAGAAACCGTGTACTCGCTGCATGGGAGGTAGACAATGGAAGTGCCTTTTTACCCCTGCCCCCCATCATCTGTCTTCTCTGAAGCCTCTGCCTCTGAGCTCAGTTCCCCAAGGAGGCAGGCGGGCAGCCAAGCGAGGCCGAAGCTCAGGCGGGGGAGCAGGCAGAGGTAGGACAGCCCAGGCTGGAGGGTCACCAGGCTGGTGTTTCCTTCCTACCTTGATGTGCCACTTTCCCAGGTCATGGGGGAGGCAGGCCCATGGCAGAGAAGGGGTGGTGGGGAGGGGGTAAAGGGGAGGCAGAAGCACCCTGTGGCCTTTGGCCTCCCCACAAAGCAGGGTGGGGATCTCCCCGGAACAGAGGATGGAACATCCCCACAAGCCTGGGCCCGTTCCTTCAGCCGGGGCTAGGAAGGCAGGCAGGGAGGAAAGAGCAGGGCTCTTGGTAGCCACACGCAGGGCACAGGGGAGGGATGAGGGGCTTTGGTACAAAACACACTGGAGGGAGGGGATGGGAGAGAGTGGGCGGGAGAGAAGCAGAGAGGAGACGAGATGCATCGAGAAAGAAGAGCCTGAAAGTGGCCTTGACTCCAGCCCTGGCCATGGTCTGGGAGCTCGGGGCAGCGAGACAGTGCCCACAGCACGCGCTCACAGTGGGCCTGTGGCTGGGGAACCACTCTGGGGCAGGGGCTGGGGCAGAGGCTGCTCTGAGGTGACAGCAGAGCTGTCTCAGGGCCAGGCATGGAGAGTAGCAGCTACTGACACTCAACAGGGTCATCGAAAGAGAGGACGCAGCAGGGCAAAGCCCGGGCTCCCCTCTCTGCTCACAGGCCTCCTGAGGGAAGGGGGATCGTGTGGGTGTCCCTCGCCGGACCCTCAGCACCAGCAGGTCTTTGAAGAGTTCGCTGGGCCCTCAGGTTTGCCCTCCTCCTCCTCCAGCTCAGCCAAGGCCAGCTCATGGCTGGCACGTGTCCGGAGACCCTCCAGCTCCTTCCTATGGGCCTGCAGCACCAGTTCCGTCAGCCGCGTGAAGGACTGGAGATGCAAGGGGCACAGGTTATCTGGTGTCTCCTCCTCCTCCCGGCCACCCTGTTGCTGCCCAAGGTATGAAGTCCCACCTGGTCGTGGCTCCTGTCTGCCACCTCCCTCTCTGGCCTCCCTACTCCCTGGTCTGCACCAGGGACGGGGCCACTGGTCTGCGGTGCTCTCACCTCTTTAATGTTGAGGTTGGTGCAGGCACTTGTTTCGTAGAAGTCCATGCCATACTCCTTAGCCAGCTACGAGAGAAGCACGTGTCTGAAAGTCAGGATGGGAAGGGTGCCCGCGCCACCTGGCACAGACATCCGCTAGTGCACCCACAGACCATGCCACACCATGACGATCTGAGTCGATCACTTCTCAGACAAGGCTGGAGCTCTTGGCTAGACACAGGGTCGCAGAGGCTAGGAGAAGATGCTCCCAAATACCCTCTCCCCGTTCCTCAACTCCCACGCCAACACACATATCATATGCTGGGAGAAACACACCAAAATATTGTGGCCACACGGTCTCTGTGAAAAACAGGGCCAGCCATGGCCTGGTGGTTATGTGAGCTGATCCCACATGGCTGACCATGCAGTTTGAGTCCTGGATATGGTGGCTTGAAGAACATGCCAGGTGCATATGTGTGCGTGCCCTAAATCCCAAGAGGTGAGAGATATGGAGGAGATGGGATTACAGCATGATTATTCCCCATGTGAGGTGCTTTCTCATTTTCCCTTCCTCTGACTCTGTCTCTATCTCTGGTGATCACACACACTCGGCAAAATTTAAAAAAATAAAATAAAAACGTGGGTTTTGGAGTCTACGGACCCAGACTTGAATACCAGTGCTGCCACTTAGGGTTGTAGAACTCTGGACAAGTCACGTACTCCCTCGAAGTCCCTGCTGCATCTTCCGTTAAAGGGGAACGGTGGAGTCTACCTGGCCAGGCTGTGGTATGATTCCGTGGGGTCTCATCCTTGAGAGCACTTGCTTCTCAGCCCAGGGCCACACAGACAGTGCTCCAGCAATACTGCTTTTCTGGTTGGCTGTGCCTCTAACTTTCACATTTTTCAGTGACCATGTATTATTTTTTTAAGAGGTTTTTGCCTTAGGGCACATATGTTCACTGGGGAGATAGACAGAGACAGTGAGAGGGAAAGTGAGAACTCATCCCCTAAGGGAGATGGCCACGCCATAATCTCTTCTCCTCCATTCTCCTCCTGAGATCCTGGGCATGCACATATGCACATGTACCTGGTGTGATTTTCAAGCCACTGGGTCCAGGACTCGAGCTGTGGTCAACCATGAAGGAGCCCAGCGACATAACCACTATGCCGTCCCCAACACACATACCATATGCTGGGAGAAACACACCGAAATGTGAAGGCCATATGCCATCTGCTGGTCCCATGTATTATTATAATTTTAAAAAAAGAATTATTATTTAACTTTATTTATTAACTTTAAAAAAAAAAATTCCCAGAGAGAGAGAGAGAGAAAGTGAGAAAGCAAGCCACCAGGTCCGGGACTCAAACCGCAGTTGACCATGTGAGAGTACAGCGTCCTTGACCACCATGCCTCTTGCCAGCCCTGCCATGTATTATTTTTTATACCCCCAAAACATCAATTTTATTTTAAGTGTCAGTGGAGTGCTACTGACTGAGCAGGGAGAAAGACTCTTGAGGCTCTCAGGGTGGATGACTCGAGACCTTTCCTTCCTGTGCTGTGGGAGGGGGGTTTCCTTCCATGCCTGGATATTCCTTGGTACCATCCTCCTCCTCTCTCTGCCCCAAATACAGGTCCTCATTCCCTCATTTTCCTTCCTATCTCGTTCCAGGCATCAGGGGGACAGAGAGTGAGGGGTGGATGGGACATCCGCTTCCTGGCTGTGTGATGGCGACTGTGCTTGGAACTTGAAATCCGCCCTTGTTACTAACACAGTGACCTTGGAAGCATGGGGCAATCCTGTCTTGGGAGTGTGGCTGCCCATGAGGTCTTTGCTTTGGGATGGACCCCAATGCTGTCCTGAGGACAGAGAGCCAACTCTCCAAGGTGGCTGTGGGTGTGGGGGGTGCTGACTCTGGTAGATGGACCCCTGGGTCCCAGCTCCAGGACTACTCTGGGGGGGGAGCGGCCCCCAGGCAGACCAGGCCAGCTCATTCCACTCACCTGCTGTCCCTGCTCTCTTCCCACCTGCCGCTTCTGCTCCTCGTCGGCCTTGTTCCCTATAAGGATCTTCTGGACACCTTCTGGTGCATACTAGGGACAAAGGACAGAACCGCCATGAGTGCAACCCCTCCCTCCTTTCCCCACTCAGCTCACACTGGCCCCAAACCACCACCGAGCCTAAGAGCCCTAGAGACACGGACACCCGGATGCAGGTGCCGGGCCCCCAAGTACTGTGGCCGACCCTCGGAGGGTCAGGGCACAGCTGAGGGCGGAAGATGCTCTGGGTACATTGGTGCCTGCTAAGTCCCACCCTCATGCTGCAGATGAACCGGGGACCTTGTGAGTTCAGATGGCTTGCCCAAGGTGCCACGGCTACTATGCAGAACCAGAACCTGATCCCCAACCCCTCATCTCCGCCTGGGCTCTGGGTTTTAGGCAGGAAGCTGCTCACAGGGTAGGCTGGGAACTAACTCATTTCTAGGGATGATGTGGCCTTGGAGGACTGGCTGGGTACCGAGCATGAGGGCCTGGAGCTGCGGCTTCTCCCGCAGGCTTGCTCACCCAGGAGTCTTCATCTGGGGCAGTGGAGGGCGAGGTTTCCTAGCAGCATTTGCTTGCCAGCCCTGAGAGCTTCACCCTTCCCTTCCCATCTGGCCCAGCCTTGCCTGCCCCTCTGAGGCAGCCTCCCCACCCCTGCCAGTGAGGCGGCATCTCCTACCTCATCCACATCACTGACCCACTTCATGATGTGCTGGTAGGAGCGCTCGCTGCTAATGTCGTAGACTAAAAATATCCCCTGAGAGAGAGAGAGAGAGAGAAGAGAGAGGTGGGGGAGGTAGAGGCATATGGAGAGAGTGCACAGTCATGGGCCAGAGGCCCTCGGTGCGGGCCTTCACCTCAGCTCCTGTCTAGCACATCGAGGTCCCCTCAGAATCCAGAGAAACCTTTTTCACTCTCAGACCTCTGAGCTGCCACTTCCTGGGCATCACAGAACTCTCTAGGGTAGGGAGGCATCGTGTGCTTTACCTCAGTCTTTGGCCAAGATGGAGGGTGGAAACTAGGGGTGAGGTGGGGACCTGCCTGCAGTGAGTGCCCCATGAATAACTGAGGATGAACAACTGAAAGACCACCCTGAAGTTCCACCCCAGCAGGAGATCCCAGGGCCCTAAGTCAGGGGTCTGAGGCACAGACATCTTCCATTTCTGAACCCTGGAAGTGGTGGCTCACCTGGGCCCGTCGATAGTACTGCTTTGTGATGGTCTGATATCTCTCCTGCCCTGCTGTGTCCCTGCAATAGAAAGCCAGTCCCTCAGAGGAGCAGTGGCCATTGAAGCAGGTGGGAAGGGGAGGAACAGGAGCTGGGAGATCATGTGCTCTTGCAGGAAAAGCTGGGAAGCTGCAGGGTGGAAATTTGGTGATACTTTGACCCCTAAGTGGATCTGAACACACCAGACTCTGCCGCCAGAGGCCTGGTCATCTGTCCTGGCACTAGCAAAGCCAGTGGGGCCATGGCTTCCCCTGATGACTACCTGCACCAGGAGTCACACCATAACTGAGCCTTAGACAGCTCTCTTTTGAATCTGACCAGTGTGGCCAGACTTGATTGGACAGGAGGATGCTCCCAGGCCTAAGTCCCTACTGGACCCGTGACCACAATGCCCAGAGCATTCTGGAATTGGGAGGCAGTTCCAAGCCCAGCGAAGGGTATGAGGCCAAGACCCTTCCGGCGAGAGAGCCACAGCAGCACCCTGTGGCTACATGGGGAACTGCACCATGCCAAACCAAGGAACACTCATCCCAACAGTAGGGTGTAGCCTTCCCTCCTCCCAATCTCTCCACAGAGTGGTCCAGCCCAAGGGTACGCCTAGCTAAGATAGACCCATGATGGTTAGTCTGCCAGTTCCTCCTAACCCCTGCCCTGTGTGGGCAATCCCATATGCTTTCTGTGACAGAGATCAGAGAGGAAGGCTAGCGGGTGCTGAGACCAGCTCTCAAGGCTTCTCTCCATCACAGAGGTGATCCGGCAGGAGGCCGAGGGGTTTCGCATATGCCAAGGAGCAGCCAGGGGCCTCTCCTGTGCCTGTCCAGCTCACCAGATCTGTATCCGCACTTTGATGCCGTCCACCTCTATGGTCTTCATCTTAAAGTCCACGCCTGGAAAGGAAGCGAGTCAGAGTCAGGAAGCGCTGAAGCTGAGAGCCCAAGGGAGAGGTGCGGGCCACTGCCTTCGGGTTGAAGCCGGCAGAGATGGCACAGGGTCAGGACCCTCTCTAACCATAACTGACCCAAGGAGGTGTCTGCAGCCTTGAATGGGGCCTCCCTTCCTCCCCGAGTTGAACACTGCCAGCAGTAGAGGGCTTGGGGCAGGGGGGTCACAGGAGGAGGCAGAGTGAGTGTGGGGGAATCTGCTTTGTCACTGCCTCCCATAGCCCCCAAACACGCCTCATTCTACTTACCACAAAGCCTTCCTACTCACACCCCTGCAGAGAATGTTTGTATTTATCCTTCCTGAAATGCTAATTTCTACAAATAGTAATCCACCTCATTTGCTCATCCCTCCCCCCCCCCCCCCCCCTTCTTAATAAT